TGAAGGTTAGAATGAGGGTTGTAGGCACATTTTGAGTGGCGGGCTTGGAGATTATTTCTATAGCAGTTATTTTTCTAGCTTCTCTGGCTTTATGCTTCGTCCCCTTTCACTAGGTGGTGTGGATTTGGCTAATTGGTCTTGTAGTTCTGTGGCCTTGGCTCATGAAATGAGACAAAAGCTTTTCTGCCAAATCTGAGCACACCTCAGGAATTTTGCAGGAATCCTTTAGAGCAGGGGTTACCAAACTACGGCTAGAAGGCCAAATCCAGCCCACCACCTGTTTTCATAAATAAAGTGTTATTGGAACACAGCCACACCCATTCTGCGGCTGCTTATGTCCTACAATAGCAGAGTAGTCGCAAAAAGAGACCATTTGGGCTACGAAGCCTAAAATATTACTGTCTGACCCTTTACAGAAAAAAATTTCTGACCTCTTCTTTAGAACATGAAAATACTCTGGCTGAGGAGCCGGTTTTGTCTGCAGCATTACTAAGTTTTTCAGCACTCTCTGGCCTAAGAGATGGAAATCATGGTGCTTTCTTGCCCCCCCACCCCCACCCCCTTGTCACCACTGTTTCTGAGGGTGTCAGAGGAGAGGGAGGCCCTCTGCCTCATGGGACACCCTTTGCTGCAAGGTGACTGCTGTTGAGTGAATCCTGGGATTCATAGCAGGGTCTCTCCCATCTTGCTCTCTCCCTATCCCCCCACCACTGTTTGTTTCTTTCTGCTTCCCTCCAAAAGACAATGAGTTAAATTCAGGGACAGTCACCCCTGGACTCCAGGAGCCCCGTGCTCAGACCCCTGCTCAGATACAGCTAATGTATCTTCTGCTTCATTTAGTCACAGTTCATTATCGTGGGGTTGTTGAGTATCACACTTTCGCCTGGAGCAGCCTGGCCTTTCTCTTTTGCACACAGGGCATCCATATCGTTTCTTTGAAGAAAGAAATGGCATCCCCCATGCTTAGGGTAAAACTCATCTACTTTCCATGGGTCTTGGTCCTTACCTCTCCCTCAAGCCTCACGTTCTCCATTTTCCACCTCAATCTCTCTGTTCTACCTGCACATGACCTTGCTGTTCCACATATGCAGCAAGCACACTCTAGCCTCAGGGCCTTGGCACCTGCTGCCCCCGGGTAGTTATAGATACTTTATTTGCCTGTTTGTTTGTTCCCTACTAAGGTAAGTAACAAGAGGCAGAGGCTTTTCCTGGCTTCCTCTCCAGGCCTAGAACAGTGCCTGGCATGTAGGATGAGCTCAGTAAAGCCATGTTGGATGGCTGAACAGATGGATGGGAGGGAGAGGTTCCGGATATAAAATCCTTTTAAACTACTGATCTGTTCCTCCTTAAACATCAAACAGATGAAGAAACTGAGACCCAGAGACATGACTTATCCAAAGTCATCTGGCAAATATAAGTCCCAGAATCAGCATTAGAATCTGGATTCTGTCCCGTGAACCTCCCAGTGTAAGTGGCCTGTGTATTTTAACGTGTGCCAGCATTACGTAGTATCCCAGGAAGTGCTAGATCTCAAGTTGCCTCAAGCTGCCATTTGCTTTAGCAGGGAGTGAGCTGTTCATAACAAGGAAATGATGCCTTCACTAATAATAAAGGGAATAAATCAAAATTGTAATTATTTTAAATTCTTAGAATGGCGATTCTAAATGCTTTCCTTCTTGGCCCATGGGGTTAGATCTTGCCTTTCAAGGGAAGATTCTGGTGCTGGGATAGAGAGCTGCTTCTTTAAGAAGAGATGTTTGAGATAAGAAGAAAAAGTCTTTTTCCTACTCAAACTCACCTCACTCTACTTCACCTCTGATTACCAAAATGTGTATGGGGTTTTTTNTAAAGGGAATAAATCAAAATTGTAATTATTTTAAATTCTTAGAATGGCGATTCTAAATGCTTTCCTTCTTGGCCCATGGGGTTAGATCTTGCCTTTCAAGGGAAGATTCTGGTGCTGGGATAGAGAGCTGCTTCTTTAAGAAGAGATGTTTGAGATAAGAAGAAAAAGTCTTTTTCCTACTCAAACTCACCTCACTCTACTTCACCTCTGATTACCAAAATGTGTATGGGGTTTTTTCCCCTGTACTCCAAGAAATGTCTCCAGTGGACAACTAGGTGTCCTCTAACTCAATTTAATTGACACTGTCTACCTGGAGATAGTGTCAGATCCCACAGGGTAAGGGCTCAGTCCCATGAAACTGCCCTACTTTAGAGTCAGTTGCAAGCCCCGAGTGTGACCTGTACTTCTGACTGGCCGACTATACACTGGGAGTTCCCACGACTCCCCTCCCCACTCAAGTTCAGTTCATTTGCTGGGCGTCTCACAGAACTTGGGGAAACACCTTACTTCCATTTGCCCATTTATTGTAAAGGATATTACAAAGGGTACAGATGAACAGCCTAATGGTGCCAGGAAGGAGAGCCAGAGATGCACAGAGCGAGATAACACACCCCCCTGCAGGAACCTCCATGTGTTCAGCAACTCGGAAGCTCTCCAGACCCTGTCCCTTTGAGTCTTTATGGAGGTTTCATTCAGTAGGCGTGATTGATTACATCACTGGCCATTGGTGGTCATCTCAACCTTCAGCCCCTCTCCCTTCACCCGAGGTTGGGGCGTGGGGCTAAAATGCCCAACCCTCTAATCCTGCCTAGGTCTTTCTCATCCAGCCCCATCCTGAAGCTGTCTAGGGGCCCACAGCCACCAGCCGTCTCATTAGCATACAAAAGACACTCTTAATCACTCCTGAGATTCCAAGGACTTTAGGATCTGTGTGCCAGGAACCAAGGGCAGAGACCAAATATTTATTTTTTATTATTTCACAGTGTCACAGAAGAGGAAGGAGCATGACCCCGTGTGGCCTGAGTTTTAGTCCCTCTGCTGCTCAGCATGTTATTGCTTCTCTCTGGGCTTCGGTTTCCCCATCTGTCAGCGAGGGGATTGGGGAGCAAATCTCTACAGTGCTGGAAGTTCCTCTTCCCCCACCCCACTCTCTCTACCTGGGCTCTGCCCAGCAGCCTGGTTTGGGATGTGATGAATCTCCGGCAGCTGCCACAGGTGCCCTCACTGACCCTGTCTGTCTCCTGTTCCCTTTACAGGCTCTGTATATGTTCTATGCCTTGGCCATAGTATGCGATGACTTCTTTGTTCCATCTCTAGAGAAGATCTGCGAGGTACGTGGGAGACACCTCAATGATGACTGGGGGCTTGGGGGGGATTGAGGACGTGGGGCATATAAATGACAGGCCAAGAAGGCCAGGAGTGGAGAGGGGAGCACTCTGATTGTAAAGACCACCACACCGAACACTTGGTGTCTGCCCTATGTGCAGCCTCGCTCTAAAACCCCCACATGAGAGGTGGCAGGTGGCATTCTTTCCCAGAGTTTGGCAGTAGAAAACACAAATAGAGGGGTGGGGGAAGGGGACAGGGGATGGGGACGACGCTGAGCTGAAGGCCCTGGCGGAGGGCAGGTGCTCAGGGCCCAGGGAGGAGAGGATCTCGGCACTGGCTGCAGCACTGCTACTCTGCACTGTCCTTGGCTGCTGGCACGTCCAGTTATCATTTCCAAAGCCCTCACCATCACACCCTGAGGATCTATGGTCACTTCTGTTTTAGAAGCTCCATTTGAGCGAAGATGTGGCTGGAGCCACCTTCATGGCTGCTGGAAGCTCGACGCCGGAGCTCTTTGCTTCTGTTATTGGTGAGAAATCATCACCAGCCTGAAACACATGATCCAGAGACAGTCCAAGTTGGTTTCCCCAGAACAGTGGGGGTGCTTGTCAGCTCTGAGCCTCAGTTTTCTCATCTGTAAAATGGGAGAGTTGGAGAGACAGAAAGTAGATTGTTAGTTTTTTGGGGTATGGGGTAAAGTGGTGTGTGAATGGGTTTGGGGTTTCTTTTTTCAGATGAGGAAAATGTTCTAAAATTAGATTGTGGTTTTGGTTGTACAATTCTGTGAATGTACGAAAGCCACTGAATTATATACTTTAAGTGGGTGGATTTTATAACACATGAATTATATCTCAATAAAGCTGTTCCAAAAGTTGGGAAGATTGGAGAATCTTGTCCCTGAGGGCATTTCCACCTCCCTGCCAGTTCTCACCAAAATCATGGGCATTGTGTTTGATGGTAAAACCAAACAATTTATTTCCCTGGGTGCGGGGGACACTGAGGAAGGGGCGGGCCCAGGGCCGTGCAGCTGGGGGCCAGGGTTTGTGCCTTTCCCTTTCCAGGCGTGTTCATCACCCACGGAGACGTCGGGGTGGGGACCATCGTGGGCTCTGCTGTGTTCAATATCCTGTGTATAATTGGAGTGTGTGGCTTATTCGCTGGGCAGGTCAGTGGCTTCTCCCCTGCATGTGGGGGATGAGCTTTGATGACAAGAGGTTGGAGCAGCAGTGGGGACACCCAGGGCCCAGCCTTCGCTGCGCTGGTAACTCCCTATGGTGTTTGACACTGTCTACCTCCATCAGTCTGGGGGTCTGCGGGACAGCGGCCATGGCTGTCTGAAGAGAAGCGTTCATTCAAGAGCAGACCGTATTTAAAGGGCGCCTCCTGTAACCCTGACCTTGAGCTAGATCCTGGCAGTTTCCGGGGCCTGGCTTTGGCCTCTCTGGCAGAGCATGAAGCTGGCTTTTTGATGCACACTGGATATTCTCAGAGCCAAGGTGGACATTGGATTTGACCTCAGAGAGGTGGGCTGGGGGTAGGGTGGGCAGCCAATTGATCACACCTGAGGGTGTTAGCATCAGAGGAGAGCACACGCACCTCTGGTTTCCACCTGGACAATGGCTTCTGCTATGACATACACCCTGTGACTACCTCAGAGGAGGAGGAGGGGGCAGTTTGCCATCACTTGAGAACATTACAAGGTTTCGTCCTGTTCCCCAAATATAAGGAAGAGCAAAGGGTGGCCTGGACGGGCACAGCAAGGAGAGCTCCCTGGGCATGTCCATGACCCCCTCCCCGACCCCAGCCAGCACCAGCTGACAACCCTCTGTTCGGCAGGTGGTCCGTCTGACGTGGTGGGCCGTGTGTCGAGACTCTGTGTACTACACCCTCTCTGTCATCGTGCTCATTGCGGTGAGTTACCCCTCCCGCCACAGCTGTTGGGTTGGCCGGGACCCTGCAAAGGTACAAGACCCCTGCCCATCTCTGTCCCTGGCAGTGTGACCAGAGAACTCACAGCACCCAACAGTGGGGCACGCTGACCACTCATTGCAGTCACACTGTCCCGTCCCTACCACCACCCACTACTGTGCCTCTGTTTCCCAAAAACCTCATACCTGACACCACGGTTATCAAGCAAATCCAGGGACCATCTGGAAGGCAAAGAGGCCTTGAAAAATCCAGAGCACATGGCACAAGGTCCACGCAGTGAAGCTTCAGCACCTTGCCTGACCGAGACCTTCACATCCCCATGTAGGCCCATCATCTCTTTGGCAGACCCAGTTCTGAGAAGCCGAGCTTCTGGTTTCACTGCCCACACAGAGCAGGAAAGAGAGACCAGCTAGAAGCAGTCAGAAGTGGCAGCTGGGAGTGAGGGAGGAGCCGGGAGGAGAGGACTAGGCAGAAGAGCCAAAACGGGGGTCCCTGGGGACCTTTGGTGTGGGGTGTACTTCTGCAGGGCCCTGAGGGCTGGGGTGACATGGCATGCAACAGTGACACAGGCAGACCACTGTGAAGGAACGTGTCATCCACAGGGCCATGATTTCAATCCCAAAGGGCGTTAGAGTGGGGGCAGGGCAGGTGCGTGTGGCACACCTGGACGTGAGGGTGTGGGATGTACCCTGGAGTGTCAGCTTTCACCCGTAGAAAGCTAGTTTATGTGACATCATGCCCTTGCATTAGTTTTCTGTTGCTGTATGACTAATGTCCCCAAAACTCAGTAGCTTAAAACAATAAACATTTATTATCTCCCATTTCCTGCGGGTCAGAAGTGGCTTAGCTGGGTCCTCTGGGCCAGGGTCTCACTGGCTGCAGTTGAGTTGTGAGCCAGGGTATAATCTCAGGGCTCAACCAGGCAACGACCCCTTTTCAGGAGTGCTCACAGGGCTGTTGGCAGCCTGGGGCCTCGCTGGCTACTCCCCCACACAGCTCCCAGCTCGGCAGCTGCTTCCCTCAGAGCCCGGGGGAGAAGCCACCAGGATGGAAGACACCGTCTTCTAGTCACCTGATCTCAGAAGCGATATGCCATCACTTTTGCCAGGTTCTGCTTGTCACTAGGTCAGGCCCACACAGGGGGTGTCAGGTGGTATGACCATTGGGGCCATCGCAGAAGCTGCCTGCCACACTCCTGGAAATGAAATTTATAGATAAAATAATCTACCTATACACAATTTTAAAAAAAATCATAATCCCTAACTAGGATGTAAAAGAGAAACAAAAGTAGCTTATAATAAAAGAATATGTCTTTCAGTATGTGAACGTTTTGGCCCAAAGACACCAGAAAATCCAGTGAAGTAACTGGTTACCCCTACAGAAAATCTCTGAGCCCATCAGCTGCAAATGCAGATCAGTGTCACTGTGTTGGGTTTAAGTCCCATGGGTGATGCCAACACTGATGACATGATTTTCCAAAATAACGAATGGCTCCTGATAGAACTCTAAACAGGGCAAAGTACCGTCGTCCTTCCATTGGCATGACGGTTACTTTACTAGAAAATTAAGTGTTTATTAAAACTGATTGATTTGTAAAACAGAGTTAAGTTCAAGGGTCAGGTGATTGTTCTTCACTTACCTGAATATTTATCAGGATATTGATGACTTGTGCCAAACGTGGGAAAACCTCATCCGGTAGAACTGTCTCACGTGTTCTAGGCTGCCTCGCGTCTCTATCCTCTACTGCCTTTAAATGCTTCTAAAAATATCCCCAGAAATGTCCCCCAAATTCCCCAGGTAGTGGTCCGCCCTCCCCTCTGGTGAGGGCCACTTCCTCAGAGCCATGTGTTTGGGGAGCCTCACAGCGATGCTGGCCTAGGGGGTGGCCCTCCCAGTAGTGGCCACCCAAAGAAGTTCTGTGTGTGCTGTCCACCGTGACAGCAGGAGAGGGGTACAACAGGCCCACGTCCAGATGGCAGCCCCTGGCCTCTCCTGGCTCCGTGTGTAGGGACCCTCGTGGCTCCAAGATCAGATCGGTGGGAGCAGCCCCTCCCCTGTCCTCTCCACACCGAGCTGTACTGGGGTGGTCACAGGAGTCCGCCCCTGGATCACAGAAGTAGGATTCATTATGTCTTGTGCTAGAGATGCTGGGTAGGGTTGTTGAGTGCTGTTAGTGTACCCTTTGGAAGCCACAGTGTCCTTACTACCCCCCCGGCATCCTTTCAAATTCTGCAAGCTGGACCTTCTCCCTTGGAATTTCCAAAAGAATTACAAAAACTGTACATCTCCCAGCACACACACACACACATACACACCATATATATACACATATACAAGGGTACTTCAAAAAGTTAATGGAAAGATTTGTATTATCTTTTAGTTTTGTATTTTCATGAATTTTTTTAAGTACTGTTGTATATGTACACATGTATACACATATAGATATCTTTTCAGTCTTTCAGATTTCATGATTTTAGCAACTCTGTTTCATTAAAGAGGGGAGGTTCCTGCCAGGTCAGCTCTCAGCAGCTCCTTAGACTGTTAGAAACCACAAGCCATTTCTCTTAGGGTGGCCATGCTAAGCTGGGGCCACGTGGCGCAGCGTTCTGCTGGCCCAGGTTTCAACTAAGGAAAGGTCACCTTCCATAGATGAGAAACTTAGAAAAGGAGAGAAGAGCCCAGCTTCCGGTAACACACATAACAAGGCCAGTATGAGCTGGCTCTGGGTGCTGAGGGGTCTGAATACTGTTCTTCTTTTGGAATAAATGTGTCCTCCCCCCCTGCTCTCTGTTTCTCTTGCCTTCCAGTTCATATACGATGAGCAAATTGTGTGGTAAGTTTTTAAAGTTTATTTTTCATCATTCTTTTTTTATTTTTATTTTTATTTTTATTTATTTTTATTTTATTATTATTTTATTATTATTATTTTTGTGTGTGACCGGTAAGGGGATCCGAGCAAATTGTGTGGTAAGTTTTTAAAGTTTATTTTTCATCATTCTTTTTTTATTTTTATTTATTTTTATTTTATTATTATTTTATTATTATTATTTTTGTGTGTGACCGGTAAGGGGATCGTAACCCTTGGCTTGGTGTCGCCCACACCATGCTCAGCCAGTGAGCGCACCTGCCATCCCTATATAGGATCTGAACCCGTGGCCTCGGCGCTCCCAGCACCGCACTCTCCCGAGTGAGCCATGGGGTCGGCCCTTCATCATTCTTTTTTGGTGGTGGTTAATTTCTAGTATCTTTGTTTGTTGGGTTCTCTGAATCTTTTCTAAAATTATTTTTATAAACATAAGTTTATTACTTATGAAAGTAAAAGGGTATTATTCTAAGTAATCATGCTTTTATTTATCCTTTTAAAGTGAGAAAAATTGCTTCCCTTAATATTCCCACTCTGCCAGATATCAAGATATATTATAAAGCTAAAATAACAAAAACACTATGGTATTTTGCACAGGGATAAGCATAGGCCAATATGGATTTCAGTAATGGGTCTATTTCTGGGATGGAGGATGTAAAAGGTCATGACAAGCAGTGAGTTAGGGGTGGGGTCTTAAATGCTACAGGGACAGCTGGGAATCCATACAGAGCAGAACATCAGCTCTCTCCCTCATACCTTACATATAAGAACAAATTTCAAGGGAGTTAAAGATCATACTCTAAAAAGCAAAATTTTAAAAAATTTATAGGACTCATCTCTGTGACAATGAGGTAGGGATTGGCTCCTTAATTAAGACACATAAAGGATAAACTTCCAAGGAACAGGTTGATATTTCCACTCTATTCCAGATTTCTTCTCAGAGAAACCTGGTTCTGGTTCCATCCTGGCCCCTGACCCACTGTGTGCCCCCGGGAAAGTCTCTCCACTCCTGGGCCTCATTTTCCTCATCTGTGGGTGGAGTCGGGGTGGGGGTGGTTAGGTGATCTGCAAGTCCCTTTCCAGCTCTGCCAGTCTCTGTTCTGCAAGAGCTCTCAGAGAGCTGTAGCCCGTGCCAGGCATGTGAAGGGCTTCAGTACCTACTGGTCAGATGAACAACCTGAAGCTTGTGTAGCTCCTCAGAGGCTTGTGGTCAGAGAAGAAAGCTCCCCACTGCTGATGGCGTTGAGCACTGCCTCAATGATAAAGCAGTGGTAGTGCATTCTAGGAAGATCCTCCTCCATGTCCAGTGTATGGCCCAGGAGTTCCGCTGCTCCACCCTGCCCAGTATTCAGTCAGTTTTTTGCCCACTAACCCCTGGGATTTGGGCCCCTTTCCACCTGCACCCACAGATCTCTGGTCCTTGACCAGACTCTCTGGTGATCACAGGGTCTCTTAGGGTCAAGGCTGCATGACTCTGGGCTACTGTCCTTGAATCCTGGGATGTGGCAGCCCTGGTCTCTCCTTTTTCTAGGTGGCTGGGGGAGCTCTACTTGAATCCTGCAGATGTCTATAGTTGAGAAGAACCCCCTTAGCCTTCTCTTGCTCAGTCACCAAGAGGGACAGCCACAGGCGGGGGTGTCTCACCCACAGCCTGGGTCCTGGGCCAGGCGTTGGGGATCGGGGAGAAAAAGATGCCCTCCCTCCTCCAGCCCCTGAGCCATCCAGCCCCAGCCTCCACGTGCCATGGGCCTCCCGAGCTCTAACCCAGTCTCCTTTCTCTCTCCAGGTGGGAAGGCCTGGTGCTCATCGTCTTGTATGTGTTTTATATCCTGATCATGAAGTAAGTGCCCTTTCTCTTCTCCTTCCGTGCTGTTTGATGCCTCGTTCCACGTCCTGTTCTAGCCTTTGTTAGAGCAGTGGGAAAACCTCATGCAGATCTCTCAGTCCCTTTGGGCCAGCCCCAGTTCTCTGTAGATACCCCACTGTGGGTGGCCAAAATAGGGGCGAGGTGTTCAGACAGTTTGGGGGGTGCTGTCCATACCCAGGCCAGGGGAGTTGTGCTGGGTGGCCGGTCTGTGGAGAATGAGGCTGCTCCCAAAACGAGCAGCAAGGAGGGACCCCTGTGCCACTCGCTCTGGGCAGCTTCTCCACACCTCAGGTAACCACCCTTTTTTGGTGTCTCTACAAGATTCGTGATAATATGATACCATTCTTTTCTAAAAGTCAGGCAACTTAACTTCGGCTTAAGGCTTCATAAAATGCCACTTCTCAGACCACTCCCTTGCTCAACTGCAGGGGGCACCACTCACAGCACTAAGGATGCAAACAATGTTGTACAACCCTGAGCCCCTCTGGAAGCTGCCCGGGTCAGAACCATCTCAAAACTCCCCACGAGGAGTATTACTCAGCCATAAAAAGAATGAAGTTCTGACACATGCTATGACATGGATGAACCTTGAAAACATTATGCTAAGTGAAAGAAGCCAGTCACAAAAGGACAGATTTTGTATGATTTCACTTACATGAGGTATCTGGAGTAGTCAAATTCAGAAAGACAACATGGATTAGAGGTTAGCGCAGGCGCTGGGGAGCGGGAGTAATGGTGAGTTATTGATTAACGGGTATGGAGTTGCTGTTTGGGATGATGAAATCGTTTTGGAAATAGTGATGGTTGTACAAAAATGTGAATGTAATTAATGCATCTGAATTGTGCACTTAAAAAATGGGAAATAGTTAAAATGGCAAATTTTGTGTTATATGTGTTTTTTCCACCAAAACAAACAAACGAAAAAACTACTCATGAGCCGAACCATGTTCAGGTTTCTCTCCCTCCTCACACCTTTATAGATAATCGAGAAGAAAAGACAGTACTCTGGGTTTTATGAGAATATAAACCTCCATATTTACATAAAACATTATAATTCATAAAACTGGGTGATAAACTGTCTAACTGCAAGAGAATTGTCCTTAAATGGTCTCCTCTCTGAATGCTTTCAATGAGGAGCTGGACTGAGGGTCGCTGAGATGGAGAGATACCCTCTTCTCTGGGGGCGAGGAGAGAAGACAGGGCTGGTAATGCCTCCTTGGAGCCTGTCTTATAGGCTGCACTGAATATTATTAGGACAGGCTGGTAGGGTGCAGTAAGTAGGCATCAGTCACTTTCTTGGATGAAAGGTCTCTCATGCCCCCAGGAAGCCCACTAGCAGCTCAGTAGGAACCCCCTCGGACTGCACATTGTTCCGAGGTCCCCCGTCAGGAGACTCTCTCAGCTCAGTTGGAAAGCTGCGCTGGCCCCTCCCTCACTGCCCAACCCCCCAGGGCCTTGCTGAGTGTGCGCACAGAGCTGGGGGTGCAAGGCCCTGCAGACTCCCTGCCCACCTGGTTGGAGGAACTCCCCTCCACTGCTCTGACCGCCTGCCTACCTAATTCTAGGTACAATGTGAAGATGCAAGCCTTTTTCACAATCAAACAAAAGAGCATTGCAAATGGCAACCCAATCACCAGTGAGCTGGAGGCTGGTAATGATTTCTGTGACGGTAGCTATGATGACCCTTCCGTGCCGTTGCTGGGCCAAGGTAAGGCTGAGCAGACAGGAGTGGCAGAAACTTGTCCTGGAAGCCACACTCCCTCTCTTTCCTGCACGCACTCACACACAGTCCCCCTAAATTGTCACTCTCTTACTTTTGGTCTTAGGCACCCTAAATGAGGAGGGAGAATCAGCATTTGAGATACTGCTCAGATTGGTGTTTGCTTAGATGGGGGAAGGACGGAGGGGAAGATACAACAGGAAAGAAAAATCGGCAGTTACATCCCTGGGAGTGTTCCCAGGCTTCTGAGGAAGGCTCAAGGCCCGTTTAGCTCTTTGGAGGTGCGGTGGGGTCTCTGCTGATAGGAAGCTGCAGGTGTGGGGCTTCTCAAATGTCAGGCCCTGTCCTAGAGGGCTCTGTACCAGAGAGACCACTGGCTCTGGGGCTGGGAATGCACCCAGGTCAGGGAGGGCAGCCACGGTGCTGAGCAGGTCCCCCCAGCCAGCCGCACAGGGCCCTGTTGGGGAGTCCCTTCCCTTGGGGGCTGTGGCCTTATCTCCTTGGCTGCTCTTTGGCCCCCTTGTCTGGGAACCGGGGGCTCTGAGCCTCCATCATCTCTGTGGAATCCCTTGAATGATCTAGGCCTGACCAGCTACTTCCTTGGAAACCTTAATATCACAAGGTAATTCCCTCTGTCGGGGCAGCTGCTTCCCCAGACCAGAATGAGAGCTATGGAGGTCCTTGCATTTAGGGTATTGAAAAACAGGTTGAAGTTGGCATCCACCCACAGTATTGTTAAAGGCCTTCTGAATGTTGACCGGGTGGGAGAGCCTTGGACTGGCCACCCGAGGGATCTTTCTCCCTTATTCCTGTGGCCCTGGGCAAATCACACCCTCCTTCAGGTTGACTTGTTAGTGGTGGCAGTGGTGGGACCAGGTGGTCTGAGAGGGGCCTATGTCTGGCAGATCTAGGGAGCAGAATCTGTATTCCTCAGCCTCTTCTCCAGTCTTCTTCCTGGTGCAGATCAGGGCGGGGGTTTCTGCCCATGTGCATTTTCGACAGGCGTGTTCTGTCACATCTCGGGTAACCCCCATGAGGGAGGCACTTGTCACAGGTGTTCTATTGAGGGATAAATCTCTCCATGCAGAAGGAAGCAGCCTATTGAGGGGGTGGGTGCGGTGCAATCAAGGCCATAGCCTGGCTGCCATGTCAGACTTCCTTTTCTCCTGCCGTGGCTTCCAGCAGTCGCTATCTAACCACCCCACCTAAAGGAAAGCAAGGGTTGCTAGCTGGTAGATAATGTCAAGAACACACACTCTCAGCCTTGATCTTGCTGTTATCAGTTTTGGAGTTTCCCATATAAAATAAAAAGTTTTATAATCCAACCTCTTGACAGAAGGGAAAAACCTTTTCCCCGAACAAAATGCCTTTATGTACTTAAATGTTCTTAAAGGCTGTGCAACTCAGTTCACCAAATCAGTCTCCTGGCTGGTATTTAGGTGGCCTTGCATACAGCGTGACAGCCAGGACCACCCAACCACGAGCTGCCACATCGTACCACGCTAGTCCAGCTCAGAGGGCTTCCTATGGGGCCCTGGGCACAACTTGGGCTTGCAGTGGGGAGAATTGGGGGCAATAGTTGGCCTTGAGCTGAACTATTTGAAAAACATGCTGTAATGGAGTTACCTTCTGGGCAGCCACTCTTGGCTTGGACATCTTGTGCTGTCACTGGTGGTTGGCACCAGGATAAACTGCCTGGGAGCCTGGTATCATGTCTCCTGCCTCACCTGGCTCTACAGGCTCCTCCTGAGCCCAAATGTTCCCCCCAGCAGTACCTGGGACAGGCTGGCTCTATAGGACAGAGCTCAGCCACTCTTGGCTTGGACATCTTGTGCTGTCACTGGTGGTTGGCACCAGGATAAACTGCCGGGAGCCTGGTATCATGGCTCCTGCCTCACCTGGCTCTACAGGCTCCTCCTGAGCCCAAATGTTCCCCCCAGCAGTACCTGGGACAGGCTGGCTCTATAGGACAGAGCTTGGAGCATGCAGTTTTTGGCTGGTGCCCACCTCTCTTTGCAATGGCAGCTCCTGAGTAGGGAGGGATTGGAGCTTTCCTGAAGCAGGGAGGGGCTGGGAGGGGTTGGCCCTGCTGCTCCTCGGAGTGGAAGCAGAGCCACCAAATTCAGCCAGGAGAGGAGCCATCCCGAAGTCCAGAGGCCCAGAGCACTGAAGCTCCCTGTAGAAGGAGCCCGCTACTAACACCCACCTTCAAATAACCCCCTGGCATCTTCACCACTATCGGGAATGCTGCCCCAGACTCAGCACCCACCGCACGCTAATCATCTCTGGTAATCTCTGTTGGCCTTTGTCTCCTTAATTCTTCTCCTCTTCTAAATTGTAAGTAATCAGCTTTCATCCAAGCAATAACACATGCATTTAAAAAACAACCAGCCAACCACAAGCCCAGCCCAATGACACACGCCTCGTTGGAGGTTAGCGTTCATCTCCAACAAATGCATGATCCTCCTGGCTTTGTTTTCTAACCCACATGCCTCCTGTCTGCTGAGCCTTGCTGCCTGTTTGGTGAGAGGTGTGTGTGTTTGGTGTGCATTTGTGCATTTTTGTGCCGTTAACTCTTGCATGGGTTTGCTCTCTAGACCTGTTCCCTGGTTACCCTATTACCTGTGAAGGACATTCCCTGGGAGCTGGTCACCAGTGCAGAGGGACAGGCATATCTGTTTTTACAGCTAGCTGGAGAGGAAACCTACCTGCTTCTGTGTGCTGTGTTCACGAGTGGTTCATTTTCTAGACCATCTCGTATAACTTCGTATAATGTATGCTATACGAAGTTATTACGGAAGATGTCAGGGTTCATCAGAGACACAGGGCTTAGCCAGCAGCTCACCCATGCACCCAGGGACAAGCAGCCTCCTCACCTGGGTCTGTGACTGAATCTTTGGATTCACTGCTTGCCTTTGGAGAAGAAAGTTAGAAGCACCCTCCCCTGCAGGATCGAGAGGATCAATGACAGAGCAGGTGGCCTCGAGAGAAGTTTAGAGCCAGTACTGCCTTCCAGCATTTTCTACTTCTGGGGATGCTTGTCAATTTGTAAAGTTTCGTCTGAGCCTCTGTAAATGGAGGGAAGGAAAGGTCCCCTCACAGTCACAGTTGAAAGGTGGTAGGGCCCCTGGTGAGGCTTAGATGAGGAACTGAATGACCCTTGTAATGAGCTGAGACTGGACTCCAGAAGAGAGAAGGTCCTCAGTTGGGGAGGGGCTGGATGTGGCACCTCTGCCCATGAGTGGTCCTATAGCAGGGGACCCGCTGGGCTCTGACCAATACACTAGGTTGGCATGTGTTTCGAAACCAGTGAGCCACTTTGACTAACAGGAGGAGCTGAAGCCAGGCACCCAGACTTCTGGGGGGCTGCCAGCTGCCAGGACCACAGTTGGGCAGTTCCCAACATGAGGGTCAGTCAGTGGTCCCAGCACTTGGGTGTTTCCCTCAGAGAGACAGCTCAGCACTAATCATGGTGTCGTGCTCATTAGTGAAGGAGAAGCCACAATACGGCAAAAACCCGGTGGTGATGGTGGACGAGATCATGAGCTCCAGTCCTCCCAAGTTCAGCTTCCCCGAAGCAGGCTTACGCATCATGATCACCAGTAAGTTTGGGCCCAGGACCCGACTACGGATGGCCAGCAGGATCATAATTAACGAGGTAAGTTTGCTTTAGGACAGCATGACTGAGTAGCCTGGGTGGCGTTCTGGCACTGTGAGGCAGGCCTGGCTTGTTAGGATGTTTATGGCTGCACCTGTTCAAGGAAGGAAGCCCTGGTGCCTCCAGAAGCCCGAACATCACTCCCATAGGCAGCAAGTTATCCTTTCAGGAAGAATTTCAGTCGAATACCATGCCTGACATATTTCATTAAGTAATTTGTCAGGCTCTGGAGTAGAACTAATCAGAGAAAGGCCAGTCTGAAGTATGAATTGTTCCTTTAAGATGTTATTTAGTGCAAAAAAAAAAAGATGAATACACACCTGTTCTCTAAGGACAGAGCAACTCTAGAAGGATACCCAAAACGCTAGCCAGTGGCGACTACCCCTGGGGACTTCATTTTCATTCTTGCTGGCTTAAATTTTGTGCTGTGTGTCTTTCTCATTTAAAAAAAATTGTAAGTTTGAATATTATTTAATGTATAAACAGTATAGCAAAGATAGCAGGCTTATTGCTTATGAACTTTTCCAGTCTTTGCTGTATATATGCATATTGGAATTTGAAGTCCTTACTCTCAGCAGCAGTGACCAGTGATTGCTAATCATCAGTAGATAGCACATAGGTTTTATGCAAGCATTATATTACACTGTTCTACATGTTCTATATTTTGAACACTTCTTTGATTTCATATGTAATGTGCCCTCTCTGTGGAAAGTTTATTAAGAAAGGGAAACACCTTTCCAAACGTGGAATCATTTTGAATAATTTTGGTCCAAATCAAATTTCATTGACTCAGATTTTACTGAATCCCAGCTGTTTTTCATGAGTGTGATCATTGTACTCACTTTGAACAAATCTTAAGGATTTGGGGATTTGGACTTGTTAGTGTATTTTCATGACATATACAGCCAGGGAAATAATAGGTTTTGATAGGTTGGTAAAATGCTGGTTGTCTTGCCCCAAATGTTTTAAGCTTCTGTGAAAACTTCATCTCCCACCACATTGGGATTGGCCTGCCCTGGAAGGCACACAGGGGTAGGCCAGGCTCAGGAGCAAGCAGTTCTGAGTTTTAATCTCACATCAGCCACTAATTGCCTTAGTCTCCTTGGGTCTCAGCTTCTCTATCTGAGGGTATTGGAACGCATGCTGCCAGCTCTAAACCTCAGTGACACACACACACACACTGAAAGGCTGTGCCTGGAGATTTAGCGATGACTTTGGGGAAATTCATTATGGAATGGAAGTAGGGAACAAAACCACAAAAATGCCCAGTTTCAAAGTTTGTTCATTAAGACCCTTTGGTCTTCAGTCGTTTTAATTCCAGAATGTTGCAGAGAAGCTTGCAAAGCTCAAATTACTCCATGGCAGAAATGCCTATGGGATGCATACCCTTTTTTGTTTGTTATCAAAGGGGGCAGAGCAGCTGAGAGAGGGTTTGCAGGGATGGGGGGCCTCTTTGTGGGGAGCGCAATGTTAGGGGCATGGAAGGAGGGCTTTGTTTTTCTTTCACTCCAAGGCTACACCTGACCTGACTTGAGTGTCCTCACCCAAAGCCACTGAGATGAGTTACCAAGGGCCCTGGAGGGTTTCCCCTCCCTGCTTGTGAATCCATCCTACCTGGTCACCAGCCTCCTTCATCCCACACCTTTACACCTGGATGCCGTAATTTACTAAACACCTGCTGTATGCCAGGCAGATACTGGACATTTTACTTGTGTTGTAGCTTTAATCCTCTTCATGACCTTCACCTCAGGCACCATGATATTTCCAGTTTATCTGTCAGAGAGGTGAAGTAATCTGCCCAAGGCCACACAACTAATTCGGAGGCAGGGCAAGGGATTCCAACCGAAATCTGAGTCTAGCCTGCAAAAGGGAGGCTGCATAGATTCTTAGAGGTCAATCTAGTCTATACACCCCACACCCTTCTTTCTGTATCTTTATTCCCACGTAATATCCAGCTCCTCTTTGAGTGGCTTGTTATTACCTCTTCCACATGGCAGCCCTTCAGATATCAGGCAGCAGTTGCCACCCAGAATTCTCTCATCCTTGGAATAATCCACCCTCCCTAATGTGGCAGGGTTCTAGTCCTCACCAACTAGGTACTCTCCTGTAGAAATCTTTTGGTTTGTCTTTCTAAGCATGTGGATCTATCACCTCCCTTGTGTTGTAATCAATGCTTCTTTTAATACAACCTCAGCTGTCTTTAGATTTTTTTCCGAGTACAATCTTCTATTGATTCCTATTAGGCTAGAGTCATGACTCCCCCCAGTCACCACCATTTACATTGCTACTAAGTCACGCCCCTTTCCCCCCTTTGCAATTCTGTCCTTGCACGGGTAGTTTTTTAAGACTCCAAGGATGACCTGTCATTTAACCCTACATAGGTAGCAAAATATTATTCCTACATGTCTGGGCCTGGCTCTCAGGCCTAGGTTACTTTGCTCTTTTGGGTGGGGTAAGTGTTATAGACTCTGTAGGAAAATTTCTTTTTAAATTTCCACCCCACCCTTGAATTCATGATTTAGGAGTCCCTGCCAAAAACCAACATGAAGGCAGTTAAATGGTCAATTCCTCTTTTGGAGAACATGCTTCCACCTTAAGTGATAATTTTTCCCCCTAATAACCACAAGGATAGTTGTTAAGTTATGGTATATGGACTTGCAGGCATGTTTACTATCCCTTGGTCTCCAGCTGAAGTGGGAGGGATATATATGTGTCCATTGTGTGATAATTACTAACAAAGCCCAAAGCTGATCCATACATATTTGTACTGTGAGCCAGACAAAGGTGAGCTGTGCAAAGGCAGATAGGCTCTCAGGAATGCGGAAGCCTATTAATTTCTTGAAATGTGGCCTCTGTGTCTGGTTTAGTAGAAATTTACAGAAGTGGTGAGGAAGATTAGACTGGGCTTGGGTGGAACAGAGGCAGCCTGTCATTAGTCACAGTGAGATGGGGGTAGGGAAGGAGATGGATTTGGTCGTGGACATTTGCCTTTGAGAACACACTCACTGGACGTGGTGAAAGTCTCCAAATGGTCAGCAACCCCGTGAGATGTTCAGCATTGTTAGTTGTCAGAGAAATGCACATTAGAACCACAGTTAGATACCAGCACACACCCACCAGAATGACCAACATTAGAAGGACTGATAATATCAAGTGATGACAAGGATGGGAGGCACCTGAAATTCCAGTCTGCTGCTGGTGTCAGTGTGAAGTGGTTCAGCATGCACCCACCTGATGGCCTAGCAGTCCCACCCCCAGGTGATACCCAAGAGGAATGAGCATGTATGCCCACAGAAAGACACGAACATAGGGGCTGCCCCGTGGGCTCAATAGGTAGAGCGTGGTGCTGATAACACCACAGTCAAGAGTTCAGATCCCATATGGCCAGCTGCCAAAAAAAGAAAAAAGTAAAGGAAGACATGTACACAAATATTCATAGCTACACTCTTCATGATAACAAAGAGGGGGAAACTACCCAAATGCCCATCAACAGCAAAAAATGCATTGTGGGTTATTCACACAATGGAATACTACACAACCATGAAAGTAGAAAACTACTGACTCATGCAACAACATAAATGCATCTCACAGGTATTAGGTCGTGTGAAAGAAGCCAGACATAAAATAGTATGTACTATTTTAATTCATTTATGTGCAGTTCAAGTTCAAGGAAAATGAACCGATGTTTATAAACGTCAGCATGGTGGTTACCTCGGTTACCTATAGAGGGGGCATATACACTAGGAGAGTGCCTGAGGGAGTCTTCTAAGGGGCTAGAAATATTCTACATCTTTATGTAAAAGCATTGAGCCATATGCTTCATGTAAGTGCACTTTTTGTGTGATGTACCTTAAAAAAAAATTACAAAAACCATGGAGGGCCTTTCCTGTGACTGTCTTCAAGGGACTATGAACATCCCCTGGGAGAGCCCTGGAATGGTTGCTGTCATCGGTGTCATGGGTGGGGTTGCCAATTTGGCACTAAGAGGGGGAGGCCCAGTCCCCCAATAAATCCCCAAAGCCTTCCTGGTGACAGTCCTAATGGACATGAGCAAGCTCAGACAGATCCCAAAGTCCTTGAGCTGATTCTCAGGCAAATCTATCTCTGGGGGGGGCGGTGTTCTAGAAACTTCTGAGCGCTGGGTGGATGTAAGGGACAAGGCAATAGCGTGGCACTTTATCACATGCTTTGGTGTTGTCTTGCCTCCCATCCACCCAGCGGCAGAGACTGATCAACTCGGCTAATGGTGTGAGCAGCAAGCCGCTTCAAAATGGGAGACACGAGAACATCGAGAACGGGAATGTTCCTGTGGAAAACGCTGAAGACCCTCAGCAGGATCAGGAGCAGCAGCCGCCACCACAGCCACCACCCTCAGAGCCAGAGCTGGGCGAGCCTACCTTCCTGTCTCCCTTTTCTGTGCCTGGTGAGCTCTGGGGAGTGCTGGGCTCTCGGGCTAAGCTTCTGGGGGCTCCATTGGGACCAAGTCCTGGTCTTCAGGATGGAGAGGGCCCATGAGGGTGGCGGAGGGTTGATGCCAAGTGTTGACGTTAGGTCACCGGGTAGTTTAGGAGGTATTCGATCAATACGACATTGGTACTTAACAGTGGATTAGAGCTGCAGTAGGAGGCAGGCACCGCCGAGGGTGGCTGGAGCCTGTGGGCCAGAGCAGGCCAGCTGGTGGCATGGGAAGCACCAGTAACCCCCAGCGACCGCACTCAAACATTCAGGGCAACTGATCTGTCTTTTGCAATAAGAAAAAGCAGCCACCAGTGTTACTTTTATGGACATTCCCAGACTCTCCACCCTTGCCGTGAGGACAGGCCATTCTTCCCCTGCATGGCTTATTTGCTGGGACAGGCTATTCTAAGGCTGTAAATGACCTTAGATGGTTACATCTTGTACATTTGAAGACCTCTCCTACCCATAAATAAGTCAGATCAGACCATGACTCTGCTCTAAGCCCTCTGGTGTCCTCCTGTTTCACTTAGAGTCGGACCTGCGAGGCCCAGTGTCATTTGACTGCTGGCTCCTTGCTGACCTCACCCTCTGCCCTTGTCCCTCTTGTGTCCTCTGTTTGCTCGAGCCACCTTGGCCTCTTCCCTGTCCCTCCTAGAACAACCAGCTGTGCTCCTGCATCAGGACTTTTACACTTGCCCTTTGCTGGAACACACTTTCCCCACTTGACCCCATGGCCTGCTCCCTCACCTCCTTCTTCTCTCTGCTTAAATGTCACCTTATCAGTGTGGCCTTCCCTGGCCACCCTATTTGAAATGTTTTGTACTTTTCTTACCTTGTATATCTCGCCCCACTAAAATATCAGCCGCACAAGGGGAGACATCTTTGTCTATTTCATTTACTGCTGTAGCCCCAGTGCCCGTGCCTGGCATATAGTAGGTGCTTAGTAGACATACATTGAATGAATGAATTCAGGAGTTCACATGCGAGAGGATCCTGGGACCCACCTGGTTCCCCTTCATCTTTAAACAAACCTTCCCTGAGGTCCTCTGCAGTCCTAGATGGGAAAGGAAAGTCTGATCTGTTTGGCCCCATTCTTGGAGGTTTATTGATTGATTGATTGATTGATTGATTGATTGATTGGTGTCCACCATCCTGAGAAGCAGCAGAATTCCAGAACTTGATGTTTTTCTGGAAAGAATTCCATCTTTAATATTGGGGGAGGTGGCTCTAGGTAGTCAGAGGCTGCCTGCCTGATGTCCCCATCTTTATGGGAGCATTCCTGCCTCTAGATAGAGAGTGTGGGCCTGCCAGGCTGGGACAGTCTGCCACTGTGCTCCATCTTGAAGCTGTATGTATCGTTTGGGATCTCAGAGCATCCTTGGAGTTTCTGGGTTAGAGAGTGTCAGGGCATGCCATTACAGCTACCTAGGGATTCTTCCCAAAATTCAGGGCCTTGTTCTGAACATGGACATTCCCAAGACGGGAGCAAGGCTAGAAATCTGCATTTCCAAACCCTCTCTGGGTGAATCCTGGGACCTGGCTGGGTTAAGAATTGCTATTCCTGGTCAGCACCTCCAAGCCTTTTTTCCATGTTAAGGGCAGACCCAAAAAATGAAATTTGTCCCCTGACTGAGATCACAGAGGAGCCTAGCCCAGGAGTTCAGGCCTCTCCCTAGGTCCTCTCTGCCGACCTGGAGGCCGAGGGGATTGGTGCCTCAGCCCACCTCTAGCAATCCCTGGCTCTTCAGTACACCTGCCTGGAAGCTCTGAGGGACCAAGGTCACACTGTCCTTTGGTAAGGGTTCAGCCCCCAGGACCACTTCTGGGACACTGAGAGCAGGAGGGGTGGTCTTCTCCAGATTGCAGGTCCCCATATCAGTTACCTGTTTGGACATACCAGGTGAGGGAAGATTCCACAGGCAGGGCACAGGGAAGGCAGTGTGCCCACCCAGAGAACCAGCTCCAAAGCTGATGAACTGGGGGGCCCCGTGTAAGGATGACTCATCTTTCCATTTTCGTCAGGCCTTGAGTTTGGCAGCATTGGCTGGGGAGGACCCCAGGACTGGCCGCCCCTTCCCATGTCCTTGCACCAGGTTCTGGTGCTCCCCAGAAAAATGGCCATGGGTTCTCTGGGCAGGTCACCTCCCAGGGTGGGGGGCTTGAAATGCTGCTGTCTTGAGAGGGCTGGAACCAGGTGGCTGCTGGCCCTCCCAGCCCCCAGGTTCCCTGAACCTCAAGTCCTTCTCTGGGGGGCTCTGCCTTCCTGCTGCCAGGGGCTCCAGGACATCCCCTGGGCTCGGCCCACAGCTGAGCCAAGTGCAGCAAACTTCCTCTTAGAGTTCTGGCTGCCTTCGCCCTCAGAAACAGGCAGGGCTTCCTGCGTCCCACCCAATGCAAAGCTCCCTTCCTGTCCCTGCAAATGTGTTTCCAGGGTTGCCCATGGAAACCACAGGTTACTTCCTCTTCCTCACCGGGTGGAGCAGCCACAGGGAATCGAGGCCTGGTGTGGGCAGAGACCTACAGGAAATCAGAGCACATCGGTGAGAATCGGCCCCAAGAGCAATTCCATGGATCCAGCTCCCGGCTTCTCCCCTCGGCCTCTCTCCACCCCTCTTTTCTCCACCCCTCTTTTCAGCTGTTTCTGGTCTGGCTTCACAGTGACCTGGGGCTGCAGGTGGCTCTGAGGTTGCTTCTTAGGGGTGGGTGGAGTACATGTCTTCCTACGTTGGCCCCTAGAAGGAATCACAGGGCTTGGGAATGAATGACAGGAGCAGGGGCCATAGGAAGAGGCCAGAAGCTGTCCCACTAGTCAATTTGAAACCAACGTAGCTTCAGGTGTCAAGGACTAAGTCTAGCCTGACTGATGGGCAGCTCTTCTGTGTTGTCGGGGACAGGCTGGAAGATGACTCTAGAGTCCAGAAGTCCTGGATTTGAATCTCAGTTCTGCCTCCTGCCAGCGCTGGGACCCTGGGCACGCTGTTCACCTCCCTGAATCTCCGTTCCTCATCCACAAAATGGGATGACAGATTTACCTCCCGGGTTGATCTCAATAGTAAATAAGAATTTAGTCAGGGTCTCTGCACAGTCTGACACACTGTAGGTGTTCAGTAAGTGTTAGTTTGGATCAAAGTGTGCTTTAACCACATGGCTTCTCTTACACCAGATTCTTACACCCTCCCTTGTTTGGACTACAATCAGTGTTCTAGAAAGGTCACTGGTTTCAGAATCTTGAAGTCCTGGAACTGTCGGTCACTCCCGGGGTCAAGGAGAGGGATTTAGCACGTATTAAGCACGTATGATGTACCAGGCACTGAGCTTCAGTCACTTGGTAGACAGGATGATTCAGTCAGTAAATACTTGGGTACCAAACTCCGTTCTGTGCTTTGAGGATCCAGGTGGGAACAGGACGTCCATAGTCCCTGCCCTCTGGGAGCTTCCAGGCTTTCAGGGCACATCTAAGCAGATAAGTACGTGATGCGCTGAATAATTCGGCTTCTTCCCTTACCACACAACGGGTAGGTGGCAGAAGCGGGAGGCCACAGCCTGCTGCCCATTGGCTCCCCCACCCAGATGAGTCATTGGTGGGATTGCTGGGGCAGAGCCCAGGAGCACCCAGCAGCACCCCAGCTTCAGTGCCCACTGCTCTGATGCTAGACTTACATGTGGATAGCAAGTGCAGCCGTGCTCTTCCCACTGTGCAGCACAGAGGCCGATGATCAGGCCTCCAAGGCCAGCTGTTGACCGGGGAAAGAGGGAGAGCTTGCTGCTCTTTGTCCCACAGAAACCACAGTCTGCAGCCTGGGCATTGCCCTGAATCGGTTGGCTGGTGACCCTGAGCCCCAGCCCAGCTGGGGAAAGCCCTTAATGCAGGTTGGTTGTGGCTGGCTTAGTCTGAGAGGTCCTGCGAGTCCCCTGAGGTCACACCTTAGCCCTCCAGGGCTTTTCTGTCCTACCCCTGTAGGAGTCAGGAAATCGCATTGTGCTCGCAGGGATGCTGGCCTTTGTGTCTGTGATTATTATAACAGACAACATCTATTGGGTGCTTGCCATATGTCAGGCACTAGGCAGGAAAATAGAGAATTCTTAAAGGGCTCTGTTTTCACTTGGGCTGCCATAACAGAATTCCATAGGCTAGATGGCTTTAACAACAAATTTATTTCCTCACAGTCCTGGAGGCTGGAGGTCTGAGGTCAGGGTGCCGGCATGGTCAGGTTCTGATCAGGGCTCCCTTCCTGGCTTGCAGATGGAGAACCTTTTGCTGTATGTTCATGTGGCCTTTGCTGGGTGCATGTAGTTGGAGAGAGAGGCCACTATTGGATTAGGACCTTATTTTTATGATCTCATTTAACTCTCCCTCCTAAAAATTCTTATCTATAAATGGTCACATTGGGGGTGCAACAAAAGAATTGGTGCGGGGGACACAGTTCAGTCTACACCAGGATCTTATGGAGTTTCTGTGTGCTATGCCCTGTTCTAAGAGTTTTACGTGTGTTCCCTCATTTAAGCCTTAACCTCAACACGTGGTAGGGCCAATTATTGTCTCCATTTTACAGAGAAGTAAAGGGAAGCACAGAGAGGTTCACCATGGTCACAAGGCAAGTACGTGGCTAGCAGGGTATCCACCTGGGCAGCCTGTGCTAACCATAGTGAGGTCCTGCCTCTTTGTACTATACACTTTCATGTAATCTTCCCAGCTGCCTTGTCAGGGAGTAGTATTGTCATCCCCATTTTACAGAGAGGGAAACTGAGGCTCAGAAAGGCTATGGGACTTCCCATTACATGGGGGTCATACAGCCATTACATGGGGAGTGGAGTCCCAGGGCTGTCACATAGTGAGCAAATGGCCTTAGATATATACCCTCAACCTACGGTGTGATTAGCTTAGTTCAGCAGAGAAACTGGGATAAAAGTGTTTCACAAAAGTCCAGGCCATTGGAGGTTCTTGGAATAGTAACAGGAGAAAAAAACTTATCGAGCACTTACTCTGGGCCAGGAAGAGTGCTGTGTATTAAGTCCTCATGACAGCCCTAAGGAGGTCGATATTATTATTCCCATTTCACAGGTGAATGAACTGAGGCACAGAGAGATAAGTTGTCCACAGTCACACAGGAGGAGGGGGCAGAGCTGGGATTTGCACACTGTCATTCTGTCCCCAGACCCAGATGTGCTTAGGGGACAACACTGTAGCCCAACCCATGGGTTCTCTTGGCTCTCTTTCCCATTGGAGCCCGTGAGGAAATTGGTTGCCTGTGTGTGGGCTGCTGGCATCTTCTAGCTTGTACACAGGGTGCCAAATGACTTGTGTCTGTGTTTAGTAAACCGTGTTGAATCAAGTTGAATTACGGGCCTTTGGGGATCTTATTACACACTCTCCAGGGCTTGGATGGCATCACTAAGCCTTCTCTTCCTTATTTTATAAGAAAACCCAGAACAGTCAATTTGGGAAGCTTTTAGGGCTTACTCACCCCATTCACCCCCATCTTCCTCAGTTCTAGGTAGCTCTTGAGATAGCTGTACTGGTTGGGGAAAGAGAGGGGTTTTTGGTCTTTCGAAACTCAGTGAGAACGTGCTGCAGAAATGGAACTCGGTGCAGCTCTGCATGCCGGTCCTTCCCTCCCAGCTGTGAGCGGTAGAGACCGCGGATGCTGCGGGCTCACGGGCTCACGTGCGTGCGCACTGCCCGTCTGTTCAGGCCTCCCACACAAAGGACCTGATGGTGGAGATGGTCTTATTCTTGCCTCAATTGCAGGAGCCACCGGAGAAGTTGCACATCCGGTAGATTCTCACAAGCCAAGGTCAGGATCTCAGAGAAGCGCTCTTGTCAGTCCCTCTCTGTGCAGCGCTGGGGTGTCGGCTCACGGACCAATGGGAACCCACACTGGCTGAGTGTCTGTTAATGTAACAGCTTCCTGTCTCTTTGGATTTATCTCTTCTGAATATTTCATATAAATGAAATTATGCAATATGTGGCCTTTTGTGACTGGCTTCTTTCACTTAGTGTGATTTTTTTCAAGGTTCCTCCACATTGGAACACATGTCAGTGCTGTTTTCCATTTTATGGCCACATCTTCCGATGTATGGATATACCACATTTTATCCATTCATTAGCGGATGCACTTCAAGTTGTTTCCACTTTTTGGCTATGAGTGGTTTTTAAAAAGAGCTAATAGAGCACCATGGAGAAGGAGCTTAACATTTATCTAAATGAAAACAACTTTCCTTCAAGTTTTCTGTGGTTTGCAGCAAATTGGCTATGCATACTGGGGTTAAAAGGAATCTTTGGAATTTTTAGGCTAGTCCCCTTATATTCCAAAGTAGGAAACTGAGGCCCAGAAAAGGGCAGGGGCTGACCCAAGGTATAGTCTCAAGTGGACAGAATCAGTCACCTGGGCCACCTGCCATGGAATCCACTCCAAGATGCCCCTCTAGCCGGGCCAGTGACACGTGTACAGGGTGGTGGGAGGTAAAGGCACCTAGGACCGCACAGGCTGGGCTCCTGAAGCCTCTTCCAATGCCAGCAACAGAAGCCACACAAGCGCTCTCCAGCTAAAGGGGGGACTTTTTAGAATAAGTGTACAGGGGTGTGCTGCTGCAGCAAACCCCGCATCCCCACAGCCCGGCTCAGCAGTAGTGTATCAAAGCAACAGAAAGGGGCCCCGGCCTCACCTCAGTTCTGCTTTTCAAGTTAGGGAGCCTGTTTTGAATCAAGAATCCTAAAGTTTGAACTTTAGGATCTGGGAAATGTCTCTTTTGGCTTTCCATCCTTTGCAGACACACTGGAAGGAGGTGGGAACGGGGGCTGCTGAGGGCCAGTTCAGCAGGTCAGCTTCCGTGGGAGCTGTAGTGAAGTCAAGGAACAACAGTCAAACCGTCTTATCCGTGACTTCACTTCAAGCAGCCCAAAGGGCTGTGACAACCCCATACAGCTCACAGAGCCTCCGAGTGATCAGAGGAGGGAGGCCCACCATGTAGCCGCACAGAGGCGTCCTTTCTCACGCGCCCGCCCTGTCCCCAGCACTGTGCCAAGCAGCCACTATTCCATACTTAGAGTCTATATGACAGCCCTGCTGGGTAGCGGGTGAGGTCCCCATTTCCCAGATGAGGAACGTGGGGCTCAGGGAGCCCCACAAAGGTAAGTAGGTACCACAGTCAGGTCTGGTACCCCAAGTCTGCCTGACCCCACAATGTTGTCCTTTAACTGGTTCCTCTGTTGACTCTGGCCAATAAGGCCGAGTCCTGAGCTGGCACATCTGCACTGGAATGCAGGGGCACAAGAAGGAAGGGGAGGGGGTGGCCAGCAGCCAGTTCTGTGTGCTGTGGAAACACGGACCTGGACGGCCCCGCCCTGCCTTCCATGCTGGCTGAATGCATAAGCAAGAGAGCAGGCTGCCTGGGACATGGAGGGCCAGCAATTGTTCCGTTAATTGTTCTCAATTCCATTGTTGTTTCTGTGATGCAAACTCTGTTTAATGCTCCCTGGGGTCTCCAAGTTCAAGGTAAGGCTTTCAGAGGCAGGACAATGTGTTCTGTACTTTCTGCTTCTCTTTAGTCTTACAGGGTTCCTCAAGGTGGGTGGGCAGGCAGGGACAGTTATTGCTGTCTCACGGTTGAGGAGACAGAGGCTCAGAGAGGTTAAGAATCCACCCGGTGCCACACAGTCAAGTGACAGGACAGGACAACTGTCTTTGCCAGAAGCCTTGAGATCTCTGCGGTGGGTGCAAAGTTGGCTGTAACTTAGAGTCATCTTTAGAATGAGGGAGTTGGTGTGCCAACCCTTAATGTCCTTCCAGCTCTGGGATCCATTTCCATCCAGTCCCAAAGTTTGGACATGGAGCCTCAGATGGGGGCTGTGGCAATGTCTGCAGTGCTGGGGCAGGGGTCTCTGGGATTGGCACCAGCTGAGGAAACTCTGGGCTTGGCTCCTCCATTGACTGGGTGATCCTGGTCTACAGGTCTGATCTGTCCTTGTCCATCAGGGTAGTTGCTTCTGTGAGGAAGCACGAACAGGGTCCCTAAGGCTGGACAGTGTTCCTGTCTGTGCCAGTGTGGGGGGAGCCTGAGCCCAGGCTGCCTTCCCTGAAAAGCCTTCCAAAGCCCCGATAAGCTCCCCAGGCCTCTGCACTGGGCTGCCAGGGGAGGATCTCTTCCTGGGCCTTTGTTGTCCCTGTCCATACGGCCCTCAGCAGGGCCTGGTTCTGACCTTGCTGATGCCTGATGTTTTCTCTCACTTCATCCTTTTCATTCGTCCTGTTCCCCTCCCAACCTCAGTGTGGCAGCTTAGCTCCACTGCATGTCTTGACCTCGTCTGCTTCCTCCTGGGCCCGCCCCTCTAGTGCCCTCAGGATCAAAACCTGCTCTCCGCAAGGTAGGACAGTGTCACTAAGAGGCTTTGGTATGGGACAGCCATGGATTGAGTCCTGGGTCTGCCACTTCCTGGCTGTGTGATCTTGGGCAAGTTACCTTACCTCTCTGAGCTTGTTCTAGTCTTTGTAAAACCCAATTCAGTGCTTGACAGTACAGGTTGAGTGTCCCTTATCTGAAATGCTTGGGGCCAGAAATGTTTCAGATATTGGATTTTTCGGATTTTGGAGTATTTGCAGAATACATACTGGTTGAGCATCCCTAATTTGAAAATCTGAAAATAGCCTCTAAGATGTGAGGCATACACACGTGTTGGATAATGGCAAGGCAGTCATTCGGTAGTCCGGCCTTGACAATACTCCCACCTCCACTTGCATCTCTGTCCTTCCCCAAAAGGCCTGTTCAGAGGCCACTCACTGGCTGGGAAGCAGGGTCTGCCACTAATTTTCTGTGAGATTCTGGGCAATTCATTAACCATCATGGAATTTGGTTTTCCTCTTTATAAAACGGAGTTCACCAAATGGGATTTATTCCAGGAATGCAAGGTTGGTTCAACATATAAAAATCAGTGTAATATACCATATTATTAGAATAAAGGACAAAACCATAATATCATCTCAATAGACATAGAAAAAGCATTTGGCAAAATCCAACACCCCTTCCTGATTTAAAAAAAAAAAAACAAAAAAACCACAAACTAGAAATAGAAGCAAACTTTCTCAACCTGATTAAAGGGTATGAATGAAAAACCAACAATTAACATCATACTTAATGAAAGACTAAAAGCTTTCCCCCTAAGATCAGGAACAAGACAAAGATATCATTGTGCCACTTCTATTCAGCATTGTGCTGGAGGCTCTAGCCAGGACAAGTAGGAAAAATAAAAGGCATCCAGATTGGAAAAGAAAAAGTAAAACTTTCTGTGTTTACAGATAACATAATCTTATATATAGAAAATCCTAGTGAATACACACACACACACACACACACACACACACACACACACACAAAACTATTAGAATTAATAAACTTGCAGGATAGAAGATCTATATAAAATTCAGTTTTATTTCTGTTCATTACCAATTAATCAGAAAATGAAATTGAGAAAACAGTTTCATTTACAATAGCATCAAAAAGAATAAAATACTTAGGAATAAATTTTAAGAAAGGTAGTACAGGACTTGTACACTGAAAACTACAAAACACTGAAAGAAATTAAAGATCTAAATAAATGGAAAGATATGCCATCTTTATGGATTGGAAGACTTAACATTTTTAAGATGGCAATATTTCTGAAATTGATCTACAGATTCAGTACAATCCCTATCAAAACCTCAGCTAGCTTTTTTGCAGAAGCTGACAAGCTGATCCTAAAATTCATATGGAAATGCAAGAGACCCAAAATAGAAAAAACAATCTTGAAGACTCACATCTTGACTTCAAAACTTATGGCAAAGATGCAGTAATCAGGATATAGTAATCAAGACTCTGGTACTAGCATAGGATGGACATATAGATGAAATGGAATTGAGAGTCTTGAAAACACCTATTCATTTAGGGTGAGTAGGTTTTTGACAAGGATGCCAAGACAATTCAGTGGGGGAAAAGAGTAGTCTTTTCAGCAAATGGTGCTAGGACAACTGGATAGCCACATTTTTTTAAAAAAATGAAGTTGGACCTCTACTTCACACCACATGCCAAAGCTAATTTTTTAAAAAGAGACCTAAATGTAATAGCTAAAAATAAAATACTCTTAGAAGAAAACATAGGTATAAATATTCATGACCTTGGATTAGGCAGTGGATTCTTAAGTGACACCAAAAACACAAGCAACAACAATAATAGATAAATTAGATTTTATCAAAATTTAAAACTCTTGTGGGCCGGCCCGGTGGCGCACTGGAGAGGGCGCCACTTGGGAGGGTGGCGGCGCTCCCGCCGGGGGGTCGGATCCCCTGTGGAGACCGGGTCCCGCGCACTGGCTGGGCTCTGGGAGGGTGCAACACCGAGGGTTGCGATCCCGTTACCGGTCAGTAAAAAAGACAAAAAGGAAAAAAAAAAAAACTCTTGAGATTCATGACACCATCAAGAAAGTGCAAAAACAATCCACAAAATAGAAAATATTTGCATCTCATATCTAAGAGTCTAGTATCCAGAATATATAAAGAACTCTTACAATTTAACAATAAAAAGACAACCCAATTTGAAAATGAGCAAAGGATTTTTCCCAAGAAGATACACAAATGGCCAATAAGCCCATTAAAAGATTTTTGACATCATTAGTCATTAGAGAAATGAAAGAAACCACAGTGAAATACCACTACACCCCCACTAGAATGGTTGTAATTTTTTTAAAAAGATAATAACAAGTGCTGGTGAGGATGTGGGAAAATAGGAGCCCTCATACATTGCTGGTGGGAATGTAAAATGTTACAGCCACTATGGAAAACAGTCTGTTCCTCAAAGAGATAATTACCAGATGACCCAGCAATTCCACTCCTAGTTACATACACAGGAGAAATGAA